CTTAATGAAGAAATAATTAATTAGCATAACTCCTATGAATAGTCTATGTGACCCTAGTTTCTATTACTTTTAAGTCGAATTAATCAAATAATGCATACAATCATCTTCAACTAAGAAAGGGCAAGCACCGAAAGAAAGAAATGATCAAAGAGAGGCCTCACCTTACGCTAATAAAGCCAAAAGCAAGAAGAAGGTGATGATGTGATTCCTTATGTACCTGAACTTGTGTCGCTTGACAAGTATACATATTAATCAGTTGACCTATCTCTTTTTGGGTTCTCTTCTAGTTCGGCTGACTCTAGTCTTGTTTGAGTTTATGACATTCCCCGCTTGGCCGAGCTTTTGTAGGCCGAAACAACTGTTTAGGTGAGAAGAAGTTAGAGAAATAGTCAAAACAAGAAGGACAATGAATTTTTACTTTCATTTGATGATACAAATAAGATAAAAGTTGCGTGGAGTGCTAAAAAGGCCAAAAATAAGTCCATTACAAAGAATATCAAAAGGCAACTACAAAGGGAAAGGAGGAAACGAAAAATGAATGCTCCTATCTTTTATCAAATCCCACGGACATGGTCTAATCACGAGGGTAGTATTTTATCATGGATTCGGATCCTAAGTTTATATGGATTCCTTCTTTGTTAACAGGGTCGACCCCTAAACCATAATGTCTCAAAAAGAGGAACCTAAAAGACACTTTACTGTAAGGAGAGGATGCCATACAGAAGTTTCTTTTATTCCTTTATTTAAAACTTCATGAAGAACTTCATTCAATCTCCCACGTTACGAACAAATAAGTGGAGTGAAATCACAGTTATACACTCGCTTCGTTCTATGAATCCTTATTTGTACTGAACTTCGTTCACGAAGCGGACTTTTGACGGGCCAGCCATTTTTCATGCTCCACTTTACCTTGGAAGGGAAATGAGTTTTGCTCTTCTGGGAGCTAGGCGCTCCTGTGGTTCGTGAGAAGGAAAACATATATTGCATATGGCACAAGATGATAAAGAGAGAGTGTCTATCAATGAACAACAGATTGATGGCTGCGAACCAACAATCCAACAAAAGGTCTGAAAAGTTCCTCTCCTCGCGGCTCCCTGTGTTGTCTAGGTCCAGCACCAGTCACAAACTTAAACACTAATAAATCTCACAGATATAGCTAAAATGAAACAAATCCTCAAAGGGATCAGTGAGAGCTTTGAAAATTTAGCTCTTAATAATCCAAAAGAGCTTAAATTAGTGCCAAAGTTGAGAAAATTACCTTTGATTTATAGTAACGCCTAGAGTCTAAGAAGAGAAAAGTTCATAGAGATGTTAGAGAAAAGAGAGAGTTTTCTTATTTGTAAGTGAAGTTGCTAAAATAATATTACAAATGTATATTGTTTCCATATATGTTCTTTCTAAAATGATCGTATCTACAAATAGAGATTTTTAAAAGATAATAAATGATATTGATGGGTGATAAAAAATATTGAAATAATCAAGAGACAAAATAGGTCACTTTCATTTAAAGATTTCATACTTAGGTTGACAAACTAAGTAGAAAAAAGTACAACACACCAAGTAAACAAACAACATCCTAAAAACGCAATAACAAAAATGAAACAGATGACACTCTATGTAAATCAACATCTTAGCAAAAATTATTCACATACTTAAAGATATGATACAATAAGTAATCAGACATCTTAGTGAAAATATATATAGAAAAACTGAAGCGATCTTACACTACGTAAACCAACAACTTAACCACTGTTTGGATACATCAAGAAAATAGATTCCACCCTGATAATTTTTTTAAGAAAAGTGATATTACTTATAAAAAAGTAGAGACAACTCTATCTAGCTTCACATATATCTAATAAATGTGACGTCGTTACAAGCTTAAATCATGTTTCACTAATTCTTGTCGGGTAAAATCATGCCTTAGGAATTCAACATCAATTGCAAGAGACATCTGATTCACAATAATCTATTATCAAACTATAAAGGAAAATAGAGTTAAAACACACTACCATATTTATTAAAACCTAATGCAATAAGAAATCCAACATTTATGTTACGTCGAACAATCTAGTAAAAGTAATTCTAACAACAATAAACTAAGACCACGAATAGTAGATACTATAGCACATAAAGTACAAAAACACCACAATTATAATATAACTAGCAACAACAACTTTACATACATGCAAAAAATGCAATTAAATAATTACAACATATAGCACGACCTTCAAGCAAAATCCAACATTTTCACTAACCCTAAAATAAAAAAAATAAAAACCGCTCACAGATTAGCACATATAACAACAAAAATGAATTATTTCACTAACAATTGGTAATCAAAATTTAACTGTTACTCCTATTTGGACGCCAAACAGTAATGATATTTTCTCTACTTCTGCCCGGAAGTATATTAGACAGAAAAGTGAGATTTCTTATTTCTTAAAGAAGATTTCGCATAAGCTTCAACCTTTTAAAATGTCTTTCTTAATGTGGAGATTTTTGAAAGGTAGTTACCTTTTAATGATACTATTGCGGCTAGATTTGTGATAGACTGTGATGCTAGTTGTTTGTTGTTCTATTTACCAAAGTGATACTATGCACCACACTTTCACTTGGGGGGGGGGGATTACAGAATATAGATAATAAAATTTGGAAATCCGGTTGTAATTTCTTGGGAGGATGTACCTATCAAGTATATACTCAAAATGGTGGGATATCAAGCCAAAAAACTAACTCCATCAGACAATTTTACAAATTACTCCTCTCGTAATTTGTTTGGAGAAATGGAAAGCAAGATGTTCCGTAGTTTATGGAGGAAACAAATTGTTATATAAAGAGGATCCAATATCATATTTTATATCATCTAAAATGGGTAGTTTCCAGCAAAAGACTAATACAAAATGCAGCTCTAGGTGGGAAGTTATCTATCAACAGATTATTAGCCTTATTCCAAAAATTGATTGTACTGTGGTTAAATGGATTATGCCCCCCGAAAATGTGGTGAAGATTAATACTGATGGAAGTAGGGATGCCATTGGTAGAGCTGGAACTGGAGGGATTTGTAGAGATCACTGTGGAAAAATTATCATTGCATTTACTCAAAGTATTGGTAGGGATACTAGCAATATGGCCAAATCCATGGCTGCTCTAAATGGCCTGGAATAATTTTCTCAAATTAAGATGGGTATAACAATGTATTCTTGGACTATGATTCGAAGATTCTTGTAGATATGATCAAAGGTAATTACAATATCCCTTGGCAAATGAAAAATATCATAACTCGTATTCAAAATATTTAAAGTACTATTACTTGTGAGGTTAGACACTAATTGTTACAGGGAAGGCAACCAAGTTGCAGATATATTGGCAAAATGGAGTATTACAAAGGAGGAGCTGTTTATTTCTACACAGTCTCACCTACCATCGATAGCTATCGGACGTTACAAACTTTATCTCATACAAATTGAGTCCCCAAGGCATAAGCAAACGAAGAATTATTTTGTATAGAACTAATCTTGTAAATTTGTATAAAACTTGTATAGTTTTTGTCAGAATCTTAGTTTTGCTAAGAAGATACTGAAACAATGAGTTTAGCTTAACCTCTCCTTGTCTTTGTGATTTAATTTATCAATATAAAGGTCTCACCCCCATATGGTGATAATTAAAAAAGAAATTAAAACCCCTTAGGAAAAACACTTTTGAGAAGAAAAACATATTAAAGAAAAATATCTTAAATTATCAAACTTCTTGAATAAATCTAGATCCATAGCCAGCTAGAAACAGAACCACCAATGTATCTCACAGATTTACCTAGAATAACAGAACACCATCTTAAATCACCAAACGCCAAGAAAAATCACACAAACCCTCAAACATATTAGAGGGCTTTTGAAGATTTTAGCTCCTAATAGTCAAATAGGAGACTAGAATAGTCTAAATCTGAAATCATTTCGGATTTGTGGTGGCGCCTAAGGTCTATGAATAAAAAAGTTCTAAGAGACATTAGAGGGAAGAGAGAGTATTTTCTGATTTGTGAGTGAAGTTGCTAAAATAATATCACTAATTTATATTGTTTCATTATACGCTTTTTCAAAAATGCTTATATAGAAATGAAGAAATATAAAAGATAATTAATGATATTGGTGGGTATTGAAAAATATTGAGGGAAAATGTGGATGCTTAATAAATCATGACAATGCATGTTAATTTTCAGATACTCATTACCATATATAGATAACTTTTTGAAATATGTTGCGATAGCTAACACTATTGCAACGATCATATTGTATTACAATGGTCATATGACTAAGTCCTGTCAATAGCTAACAAATCTTTGGGCAACGGTCATAATCATTGCACTAGAAAGGTTATAGGAACGATTTTTGAAATGGTTACTACTAAGTTTGTTTCCATAGACCCAATTTTTGGTAGTGATATAGTAGCAAGAAAAGTTCACACACTGTTTAGAGAGAGAATTGATTGTACTCTTGGTATTGATTGAGATTACATACACTAGTATTTATAGAAGAGACTTAGCAACCTAGTATAGTTTATACATGTAAAATAAGAGTTCTATTCTAGCTATACTGCTCATACTCCTAATCAAACACTTCTTCGGATCATTCGAATTTCGAACATTGTTGACCCCTATCTTCATGTAATGTGATGATAATATAGAGACTAAACAACTTTTCATTCTTACAAAGAAGAAGGAATGAAAATGAACAAACATTAAATTATCGATCCCAAATTTCATTTCTTAACAAAAACTTCATCACTACATCAAAATTCATTAATGCTACATGAAATCAAAAATAAATAGATTAAATACTTCCAATAATTTTAAAATCAATATAGAAAGGAAAGTATGGAAAAAGGATAAAGAAGCTAAAAGCATCAATGAAAGCCCATAACTCACATCCACTTCCCAGAATGAAGTTATCAAACCTGTTTGTCGTTCATACTTGATCCGAATTCCTCAACTCTTTTCGAAGAGTCTAAGAGAAAGGCTGACAAGCATCCATACTAAGATATATAGCAGCTCCTAATGCAACAAAAACTGCAGCACCCTCCGAGCAGCTCACGTGCTGCGCCCTTACAATCACCTTCGGCTTACTACATTTTCCATCATCCTTAACCATGGATGACATCACAAATCCACGGTACAAAATCTGTCCCAAAGATCCATATGATCAGAAATCCGACCAAGACCCAGAGACTGAGGAGAAATCAAAGCTGCTGTTTGCACTAGCCATTGTTGGGATAGAAACATTTGTGATATCTATACTAAATTTCCCACCATTCTTGGTCTGATGGTTGAATTGACAAATTTTATAGTATTATTGGCACCATCAAGGATGATTTCAAAGATATAACCAAGTTCACCACTATTCTCTAGCCATGCTTGTAGGCGTCCCCATGGCTTCCAGATACCTTAATCTGGACGGAGGATGAGCCAAGCTCCAGGGTTTGATCCGCTCACCCTATTTGAACCTTGTGATGGGACAAATGGGGTCACCATTGATGCTGCAACAATTGGTGAGCCAAAGAGGTCATGGATTGTCACTAACCATCCCTTTCGCTGTTTTCTCCGTATATCATTACCAGCTGTCCAACAGTTAAAGCAGCCTATTGATGTGCTTCTTTCTGATATCGAAGATCTACAAAAAAAATGATAATAATTGAGATTTACATGGAGTTAAAGTTAAATTTAGTTAAGTTGACATTGATTTGAACAAACCGTGATATCGAATTCCAATCATCAGGGTTCTTCAAACTGAAGTTGCAAGTGAAAACAGGTTGTTTCAAATTACCATTAACTTGGAAAACCAGTGGACTACACTCCGGTTCGCCATCAAATTGAAAAATAAATCTTGGTTCAAGTTGAACTTTCACATTCAGATGCTCTTTTGCTAGACCAACCAACACCCATCCATTCTTAATCACAACTTCTCTACTACCTTTACTTTCAAAACCCTTCAAATCAACTTCAGCAAACACACTCCCCAAAATTCTCCCACCAATATAATATCCAAAACCAATGCCCATACTCTTCGTCGCACAAATTTCAATCTTCAAACAACATGTTTTTCCTCTAGCAGTTAATTTTTCAATGCCGGTTTTGTTCATATTGAAAGAGGCATGTATTTTGTTCTTTAAAACAAGGTCTTGTTTAGGAAACGCGTTGATGGTTGAAACTTGTGTTGGAAAACCTTTAAGCTTAATGTTACAATCAAGCAACACAGTCGAAGGAAGATTCCGATTATCCAGAAGCAGTACCACTAAGTTTGCGATAGTGATTCGAAGGAAAGGACAAGGATCCATTAATTCACAAGATGAAAACAGGAGAAGAAGTTATTTATAGAAATACAAAATAGCAAGCTGGCAATAGAAGGGATGGAATGCGTGGGGAATGAGATGTGTGCCGGTAATTTCAGAAGGAATGTGTCAACAAAAAAACATCATTTATTTGTCAATAAGACAACCACTTTTGGTGTGATATATAACTTGTCTTTTTCTAGACACTCTCTTTCATCCTAGGATATTATTGGATTCTATATGTAATGTTCACACATCTATGTATATAGTTCATCTCTTTTTCTTTATTTTTAATTATCTTTTATATATTAATCATATTAAAATATAATAATTGACATGATTGTATTATCATATTAATCCTTTAAATGAATACTCCCTCTATTTCATTAAAATATAATTCCTATGAATACTCTCTCTATTTCATATTTAGTGTATTAGTGAGCTAACCACTCGTACATACTAATAAGGAAAAAAATATTAAGAAATATCCATTTCATCCACTTTTAATTGTTATAATTTCCTTTTTTTTAGTCTTACAATAAGAAATTTGACTTATATTTTTGGATGAATTTTTCATCATATTGATATGCAAAAAAGGTACTTTTTATATAGTTTTTGAATAGCTAATTTTTTTAAAATATATCGAATTAATGTAATCTGATTTAGGTTTGTAAATTAGTCAAATTCACTTTCGTAAAGGGAAACGCGCCCTCGTCCCAAATTGGTTAATCATTAAACTAAAAATAGTTGCTTCATATATGCTAGTTGTCAACACTACTATATCAAGAAGATGTTAATTGAATTGCTTCTATATTATCGTTGCAATTGTTTCTTTTTGACAGTGTTCACATTCGTTTATAAAATTCTCAAAACGCTTTTTAGAGGGTGAATTAGTAAAACTATCTTTTATTTATACTTTCTTAAATATGGTGAAAACTCAAAGGTGATCAATTAATATTGGACTATTTTGTCCATTTATGAAGTCATAAGTATAATTCTGCAAATAGTATAATTAATATGGTAGAAAATGTAAAATTTCATTAATGAAAAGAGAAAGTATGGGAAAATATTCAAACATTTGTCTTGAAACTTTAAAAATTGAATTATTTTGAAAAATAAAAAATAAACCAAAAAATCCATTTATAATATAGATAAGAGGAAGTTTAATATTATTTCTTGAGAAAATGGTTTAAATAATAATTAATTGATGTCAATGGCAAGATATAGAAAATAACTATTTTTTCCCTTATTATGAAAAAAGTGAAAAACTATGTTTGAATTAGAGGTCTTGGATTCAAGTCCTAGTTATGAAGAAAATTATATTGAAAGTGTCATCCTCCAACTATGCCTTGTATTGCGCGATCTATATTTAATCGAGGTTCCAATGAGGACTTCGAAAACTGGGTGAGAAAACCAAAAAAAGAAAAATTATGTTTGAAATATATTTGAGAAATCAAATTAAAGGGCATACCTTTTTTAAAACTAGTAGTCTTTGTTACGCTCTAAGTTTTTCTCATTATTTTTCTTCTTTTGGGTACATGAACCTATTGTCAAAGGAAGTACAAGGTATATTCTATTAGGAATCGTTTTTAGAGTGTAGTCACAAAAATAATATATGCATTAGCTTTTCATATCAATAATATTTTTTTTCATGTTATGTGTATCTGATGTTTGCATTAGTTATACACTCTATTGCATATAAGGTGTTTGTTACTAATAATATGAATGTCTAGGTATTAGTAATGCAATATGTTTTAATGCACGCATTAGCGTTGTTAAAGACCTCATTGCCCCTCAAAATCTTTTTTATATCTTGTACATCATAATTATAAAATGTATCTTTCTAAATAAATATTTTAATTTAATGCATGTTTTGTCTTAATATACCAAACCAAGTAGATATAAATTTTTTTTATGTATAGTTAATGCAAGCATTACTAATAAAATCATATTAATGCTTGTAAGCATTAGTAATCCACTCTAGCAAACGACCCCTTAAAGACATGCAAAGAACAACTAATGTACCATCATTAGCGGTGTTCTAATGAAAATGAATAAACTACACCAAAATCAATAAACCAAATCAATATATATATATATATATATAAACTCCTTCCATTAAAAGAATGACATAGTTTTACTTGACATGAAGTTAAAAAAAAGATGACTTTTCAATATTATTACCCTAAATTAAAGTTATATCAAAAGTACAAAAATATTCTTTAATCTTTTGAACATTAATATATAATGTGGGAAGCTGAAAAAAGTGTTGTCAAACAAAAAAGATCATTCAGTTTTAAATAAAATAAATAGAAAAATAATTTAAATAATATTTTTTGTTATTTTTGCTTTGATGAAATAATAATTGGCATGATTATTTTCTCCTTATATTCTGCAAGTTGATATTCTCTCTATTTCATATTAAGTTAATTTGTGAGGCAATGGACACAAGTTAAGAAATATATGTCAGGAAAAAGTTTAAAGGGAAGTACTAATTAGCCAAAAAAGTTGCCTAGAAAATTTAAAAAATTATATAATATTTTTTTTGTTGAAATATAATATATAATATTTTTTAATTTTAAAAGAAACTGATTTTTTCTATTTTTTAGTTAAAGATATAAATTTCAAAGGGTAGAAATGTCTTAAAAGGTAAAATAACGTAGAGAAAAATTCATCATGGAAAAAATATTCTTGCGAAAAAGATTTTTCCTAATTTAAATCATATTTCTCGTTACTTGTTCATTTATGATATCATAAGTATAATTTATAAGTAGTATAATTTATCTCCTAGAAAATATAAGATTTCATTCAACGAAATAACAATTATGGAAAAAGTTTCAAACATATGTGTTGAACTTTGAACGCTACAATTATTTTGAACAATGAAAAAGTCCTAAAAATTCACTTCGGGCCTATTTGGGAAGCCACCTGGTAATTCAAAATTGGTATAATTAGGGGGCGTAGTAATTATACAATCTAGTAATCACATTGACCCATTTGTTTGCGAAACTGTAATTACATTGTCACTACATATGTACGGTTTGGCTGCACAAGTGCAATCATAATATTATATATATTAATATTAAATAAAATATTTAACATATATATTGTCGACAAAAAAATATTAATCAACAAATATATTTTTTAACTAATAATATCAATGAACTAATTAATTTATATTATTCAAATTAGCATATTTTAATTAAATTAATATTAAAAATTAAAAGTATAAGGTTTCTATGAACATCAAAAAGACATGCTTTGACAATAAGATTAATATTATAAATATGACGTCATAAACTGTAAAAATATTAGACAAAAACACAATTTTATAAAATCTAACTAAAATTAATTGACTTGCAGTATCGAATCTCAAGTCAAAATTACTAAAACAAATGTACTCAATGTCAATTCACAGCCCCCTCCATGAATTGAAGCTGCCCTAGAATCACTTCACTCCGGGATACAAGCCTACTCATCAACAAACCAAGTCCAGACCCATTAAAGGGAGTAATTGGCCTTGCCAATTACACCTAATTGTCTGTTGACCAAGTAATTGCATTAACAACCAAACATGTCAGACAATGTAAGTACACTCAATTACACGAAATCTAATTAGTAGAGTGACTTTCTAAAGAAATCCTTAATATGAAATAGAGGGAATATTGAGTACTATTGTGACATGAAAAATGATTTAAACAATAAATAATTAGTGTTAAGGGTAAAACATAGAATAAGAAAAAAAAGTTGATTTTCTTAATCTGTGAAAAATGAAAAATTTATGTTTCAAATAATGGAAAAGTACAATCAAAGAGGGAATATCATCTACCCATACTATTAATCTTAATTACACCCTAAGTTTTTGTCATTATTATTTTTTCGATACATGAACCTATTGTCAAGAAGACATATATATCATAAGTAGCAGATGTGTCAAAAATGAGCCTAATCATAGGCAATCTATTTAAGGGTTGAACTCCAAATAATTTAAACTTAGTTAAATCTCAACCTATTCATGTCTTAACTCACTTTTAAGTGAATCCTCAATTGAGCTCAATTTAATCTTCAATCTCAACCGATTTGAAACTCTTTATTTGCATTGATGTAATGTATGTTCATATATTTAATGATGTATGAATTATTTTCTATTTTATATATTTAGGATTTATCTATCAAGTTGTAACCTTTTATTTTATTTATAAATTTTCATGAGTTGAAATTTCATATGTGGTTATAAGACATCAAAGAGAATATACTAAAAAGTATAACTTAGCTAAATCTCGTACTGTAAGGAGTAAATTACATCTTATTCCTACTCTTTTTATAACTACAATAATCCCTTAAAATTTATACGTTCCAGATACATAGGTCACATTCGGATATATTAATTAAAAAAAATTGTTGAGATAAAAAGGGAATGAAATCTGAAAATTAATTAAATCCCATGAATTACACTTATGTTTCTTCTTACTCTGAATCATACAGAGGCAAATCTTAACAGAATGAAGGAATTCAAAATTTAAAATTGATTCCCCCATTCATAGAAGATATCTTTGAGATTTGATTCAAAAACTTTTGTCGAAATTTTGGGTAAGCGCGATGAGTTATAAAGGATATCAAAAGTGATAAACTGTAGTTGGACAAACGATTTTCTTTTGAATCTTCAAGTTCATCGAATATCCTTTCAATTTTTATTCAAGATTATAAACTTTTTTAAGATTGACGATTTTCTTCTGCTAGTTCATGGAAGATCCTTTCAATTTTGATTCAAAATTGTTGAAAATTTTGTGATTCAAAATAATTCTCCTAGTTTATTGAAGATCTTTTTAATTTTGAACCAAAATTATCAAAATATTTGAGAAGATACATCATGAATATCTTTGCTACTTAGCATTTTACTATTTATGTATCTTTTTTAAATTGATAAGTATTGTATTTATACTAGATGCATTTAATAAATAATTTTTGCCCATAATAAGATTTTAGATTTGAGATCGATACATTAC